ACTACTGTGAAGGCTTTCCTCTGCTGTGGCCCTTTTCTTGGGATCATACATAAATAAGAAATTCAGCAATCGCAAGCCTGCAGCGGATAAATAAGGGAATTTAGGCTTCAAATTGTTGTATGGCTGCTTTTTGAGCGTGAAATTTTGAATGGCAGGCATTTTCGTATAATCTGGCCATATTGTTTCTGATGGTGTGCCTAATAAGTCAATTATTAGCTCTAGCTGTGCGATTTCTGTGTTACCCGGCAGAAGTGGTTTGTGAGATAAAAGTTCTCCAAAAATACAACCAACTGCCCACATATCAACAGCTGTTGTTTGTGTGGGAGATCCTAAAAGTAATTCTGGAGATCGGTACCACAATGTAACAACCTGAGGAGTCATTGGTCCCGATGGCAAACCAAATAGACGGGCTAGTCCAAAATCAGCTAAAAAGAATTAAACAGTTAATTTCATACTTCCGATGTAACAATTCAACATTCCAGTGACTACCTACCTATTTTGACGCAGCCTTTATCAGTCATTAACAAGTTTGATACTTTTAAATCTCTATGTATTATAAAGCGCGAATGTATATATTTAAGTCCTTGAAGAACTTGCAGTACTATACATTTGACTTCTGATTCAGAGAAAGGCTGAGACATATTGTCTAAAAGAGATGCCAAATCTTGTTCGCAATATTCCATAACGAGGAAAATACTAGAAAAAAAATAAAATGTAATTTTATACGAAATAATTAAAATTACTCAGTTTTTCTACCTTTCCAAGCTCTTACCAACTACTACATCAATTAAATTGACAATATTATCATGTTTACATTTCTTTAGAATTGTAATTTCCCGTAATCCACTAACAGGAAGTCCATCTTTTTCCTGATCCATTCGCACTTTTTTCAGAGCAACAATTTGATTGGTCCGTTTATCTCTAGCACGATCTGAAATGAGAGATAGTTTGCAAGACTTGTGGAATACATAAATATTGCTGTTACTTACAAACAATGCCGTAGGTACCCTCGCCAATTCGATTAAGCTTCTCGAATTCTGTTACAGCCCTGCAACGTCCGTGCTGTAAAAGGCAGTACTTATTTGTAGAGGATAGTCATAAAAGTCATAAAATATAAACTTACAACATCTCGCTCACGGATTTCTGTCCGTTCTCCAGTTTTTAATGAAATTAAATATCCTTTCCGGGTTACCGGTTCCTGTGGATCTGCAGCTTTCGCTTCGCCTACTTCCACTAAATGGATAAAAAATATTTTAATTAAACTCGTCACCATAAAGTGAAATGTATAATAAACCCAACATACCAAATTGACTTGAGAATAATATTTTAATAAGCTTACAAACATAAGCCTAAAGCTTGAGAAAATCTTGAGAATGTATTGAGAAATGTTTGTTTAACAATTATAGAATAATCGAAAAGGAACCCTTATTCATAAGCTTATTCTTGAAATTGCAGAATAAGCTTACGAAAGTAATATTTTATAAAGCTTATTTTTTCAATGGTAAAAAAATATTTATTTATTCATTTTTTAATTATTTTACACATTTCATTCATTGATTGCCATCCCAGCTGTCACTGCATCCTGTTGCCTTGATACCTAGATGCTTTCTTTCCCCTTATTTGAGCTTCTGTATCTCCTCCACTTATTCTTCACTTCTGTTGAATTCCTGCAATTTTTTGACGCCTCCATTCTGAAATGAGATTGAAATAATTTATACTACAGATTCCCAGATTTATTATTCATCATTACCTTAGAGTTTCGTCCGGAAATGGGTCCTAAATTCGCGTGATTTTGATTTTAACCAAAGAAAATAATTTTTTGTTGACAATTTTCACAAAAAAAAATCAAAACAAATTTGTCAACAAAGGACAGATTTGAGAAAAGTTTGTGCAAAAAAGTGTTTCTCAAGCATTGTTGAAAAATTCTTATGATAAACTATTTTCATAATATTATTCTCAAGCTGTATTGTATTTTTGGTATGTTGGGAACTTGTCTTTCTTTTCACTACACCAAGACACATTCGTCGGGGACCCCATCAAATTTATATTGAAAATTGTTAATGTTTAGTGTCCGTCCGTCTGTTGAAATCACAAAATACTTCGCTTGTAAAGCATTGATATTATTTCTAGGATGTCTGGTATTGAAAATTGAATACAACTATATCTGTCTACGTTTGTCGGTCTCACATATAAGGCTAACTCCTGATTTTCGGCATTTGGGAGGTTTCAGTCAATTTCCTGCTAAGCCCGTAACTCCCATAAGTAAAAGTAAATTGGGTATAACAACTTCGGCCCGGCCGTACTTAGCGTAGTTTCTACTTCTTTACAATAACGAAATGAATAAACGAACATACATTTGCTCATTATAGATGGAAAGATATTCTATTGGTTTCACTTAATACAGCAAATTTTTGCTATGATAACCACTTTTCCCCTTATGATTCTTGCAGGTTCTGGAGCAGCCCTTTAATGTGAGATGAGTTGTTTTTGTTTTGTTACAGATCGCGTGGGAAACAACAATGAAAGACGTCCCCAACGAAACAAATTAGAAATCAAAAAGGAATGCCCGATAAAAAAGAAAGAAACAAAATCCCCGAGGGACCTCTGTTGTTTACGAATGAGACATAAGGAAATCGAACCGATGGACACATTCATTAAATGAACCGCGGGAGTATGTTCCTTCAACTCAAGGAAGAAATCGGCCGGCTTTAGGTCGTCATTTTGACGCCGTTAAGAATATTAAACTGAGTACACACTAAAACAACTAAAACATTTCTATCTTTTAATTCTTTTCATTTCATTTATTTATATGTTGCGATGAAAAAGGGCTTAACTCATGGTACAACAAGGAGGTAGAACAGCTTCGTAAAACTACAGAAATACAGCCCTGAGGCTATGCCCGCTTTCCAAGCCAAACAGGTAGACCTGTATACTAAAAATTTGTTCAAAGTTAGCCTACCTTTTCTTCATTGTACCATGGGTAGATGCATCAATGCTTAAGAACATTGATATGTCAAAATTTTTAAAATGTTTTATCAAAAATAAGTAGGTTTTTAAAAGTTTTCTTATATAACCATTCAATGGAGGGTATATTAACTTTGTCATTCCGTTTGTAACTCCACGAAATACTCATGTCAGAACCAACAAAGTTTATATAGTATTGATCAGCGTAAGATTCTAAGTCGATTTAGCGATGTCCGTCTGTCTGTTGTAATCACGCTATCTTTCGAACGAATTGAGATATAAGGCTAAAATTTTGCACACATGTTTATTTTGCCAGTAGGCAGGTTAAGTTAATAAATGGGCCATTTAGGTCCATGTTTTCATATATATGAGAGAAAATTGTCTGTGCAGGTCCACGTCTTCGTATAGACCCCATATAATGGTACCTCCCATATTCGGCATTTTAATGATTTTAGCGTAATTATTCAACGGAGTAGTTTCAAATTACGCATTTAAAGTTCGTAATGGAACTACAGTTTGTGATAGAAAATTGTCTATGCAGGTCCAGGTCTTCGTTTGGCCCCATATATCAGTACCTTCCTATATTCGGTATTTTGACTATTTTAGGTGCAATACTCAACGAAATTGTTTGATTTGTCGTATTTGAAGTTCGTAATAGATGCCATAGCCTGTGACAGAAAATTGTCTATGAAGGTCCAGGTCTTCGTATAGCTCCGTTGAAACAGTACCTCCGTCTATACGGTATTTTGATGATTTTAACTATATTATTCACCGTTTATTTCAAGTTTTGAATTTGAATATGGTAATGGCGTATGACAAACAATGCCTATGTAGGTCCACGTCGTATAGACCCCAATATAACGGCTAAATTCGGTATTTTCAAGATTATTTTTTTGAAAATTTCCAAATTTGTTCCAAATGGTGGAGGATATTTAAAGTTCGGTCTGGTCGAACTTACTGCTTTTAAACTTGTTGTATTCTTCTACCATGTCCTCACTTCTGTAATTATGTCATGAATATAATCACAATGTAATGAAAGGAAAAAGAGATGTCCAAAATTGTGATAGCAGAACTTACTAGTCATATGTAAAATAAAAATTTCCACATACATACGGAAATAAACATGGCTAAAAAATGATTGCACATATGTAAATCCCATTCCAACATAATTCATAAATGTTTTATTTACATTTCAATCGCGATTTGAAAACTTTTCTTTTTATTCACATTTTATAAATTAACCAATCTATTTTAAATATACCTAAATGTGCACATCGTTTGCATTGTTGTCCGGTAGATGTAAAAACATGGTAGAATACATGGTACAATGATATCAAGGTAGGGCAATGATACCATATGATTTCAATTTTTTTATTTTCTTGGCTTAATATGTCATCTTTATTTGTTTATGTATGTGTTTTCTTTTCAATAACAAAAAAAATTGTTCAGAAAACATTCAAATTCGGATGTTTTCAAAATGTTTATTTCATCGTATGCATCGACAAAATCTAGAGTTTTTGTAGCGAAATAATCCTTTAGAGATATATAGAACCTGGTTTTGAAAAGAAGTGTTGACCTTTCATTCAGTTATCGCGGTTTTCAATTATTTATTCAAAATAAATGCAACAAGTTGTTTGATTTTTTATTGTTTTGATACTAATTCTGACATTACAAGCCAAACAGGTAGACCTCTATACTTGCAATTTTTTCAAAGTTGACCTACCTTCTCTTCATTGTACCATGGTAGAATACAGGTAGTCAAACAAATTTTGAAATTGAAAATGAAAATTATTGAAATTTGTAAAAATTGTTTAGAAATGTTTATTATAACAACACTCGATTTGCGTCGTATAAGAAAACATAAAATATCTACTCACTGTTAACAAAACATTTTAAAAATTTTGACACATCAATGTTTCCAAGCGTTGATGCATCTTCAACCATGTGTAAAAGAGATTGTCTAAAGAGCTGGATCCAGTTCCGATCGTTCCTTTCGCGGAATAATTCATTCGAACTGGTTCGTTTCGAAACTACAAAACTCTAGTTACCAACACATTCATATCCACGTGCATTTTGTTTACAAATTTAAATTCTCCCAAGTTTCAGGAGGATCTTAAAAAGTATATTTTCTTGTTAAATTTCTTAAATTTCTAATATTTTGTGAGTAAAATGTCTACAGAAGAGGGTAAGAAAGCGAATTCTAGCCGCAGAAGGATTTTATTTTATGTTTTTCTTTGTAGAATTCTCGAAATGGCTACGTCGCAAAGATAAAACCTTCGAGGAAAACTTAAAATTTGCAATTAAAGCATGGCAATCTGTGGAATTTATATTGCCAACAAAATATGAAATAATACTGCAGTGGATATCAGAACACACTGATGTGCCGGATGACCATCTAAATAAGGACGATCTAAAAGAACTTCTCAAGTTGAGAGCACAGCCTGGACTGATTAGCAAAGATGTAAAGTACACATTTATTAAGTGGTGCTTGCAAATGAGCGGACTCTATGACCATAGTACAAGAAAATGGTGCGAAATCTTAGCATTGCTTATCGAATTTGAACTGCTTCAGGACCTTCTTAGGATGGACTACGAAATACAAGCAAAAGTGTATGAAGAAATTTTTACCAGCTATGAGTTGTACCTGTCAAAGATTGTCAATAATTTTCTAAGTACCAACGAAACCGAGTTTATAGCTTCCATTTTGAGAACATTAAAGGAAACAATTCAGAGATGTGGGGATGTGACGAAGTTTCAAACCAACTACACCTCCAATACATTGGATGCCATGACAAATGTAGTACTTATCATGAGAACTTTGAAAGTGGATTTCTTCCAAGAGTTCACTGAAATTGAGCGCCTGCTAATCATGGAAATGAGTGATATGGATTTAAGTGAGCGCATTAACAAGATGTCTTTGCACGTTCGATTGTTGGTACTAGAATCGTCTATTGTTAATCGCAGAAATGTTGATGACTACACCAATGTTATATTAACCAATATTTTCGATGAATCTACGGAAGATACGTCGCTCAAATTGACTATTGCTGCTTACGTATTGGAAATGTTTTCGCGTCATGATGTTAACATAAACATGGAATGGAGTAAAAGCGAAACTGCATTGCAGTTCCTGGGCAAGCGAATATATGATGTTATTAAAGAGGTCCAAGATACCCACCTGAAAGAAGTTTTAATGGTGCTGTGTGCAGCTTTACGTTTAAATCCATTAATTTTGGAGGACAATGTATTCAAAATTACGGCTAATGTAATTTTAGCAACGAAATCTGGTGATATTAAAGAGAAGCAATTGTTTGAAGAATATTTGGTTCTATTGATGGATATGTTTCGCCGATTGAGTCGGGCAGAGAAATTTGTTAGTAACCTAATAAAAGCGCTCAATACTCGCTTGGAGAAAGTTGACATTGCTGCAACTAACAAAAGAAAGGGCCAAAATGAAATTAATTGCACATCTTCAAAGAAAAAGAAAATGGAAAAACCAATTGAAAGTGAGAACCCTAACCAAGGCATCGCAAAAAAATATCTGGACATACTATTTCAAGATTTCTTTAAGCCTGTCATGACACAAAAGAAATTGGAAGAAAATTCGGCACTGTCCATGTCATTGTCATTTCCAACATTGACAAATTTTTGGCCCAGCAATCCAGTGGGAGTTGCCTTTTCAAAAATAGTAACTGGTTTAGTTACAAAGCCCTCGTTGGTGATTTGGAAAACCCTCTTGTTTTCGCTTAAGGAATTAATCGAATCATATCAAGATAAGAGAACTTTAAATGAAAAAGAACTTCTTCAATTGGATTTCCATGTTGCTTTGCTGGCTCAATATTTTGCAGGGTCGAAGTTAGCCGAACAATCTGGGCACTATCTCAGCGATATAAATAATCAGCGAAAATTAACCGTAGAGGTACTACAGGTGTTTGGAAAATTCATATTGGATCGAGAACATCAACCCCGAACTATGGCTGCATTTTTAGAATTGTCTTATTTTGCTACATCTTTGGAGCTAATGATAGTTTTCTATCGGCCGGATGGCAGCGCCGACGAAACATTGCAACCACAAAAGTTATTGGAAAAACTACACTGTTTTCTGTCTCCGGAAGAGTGGTTGCTAATACAGCAACGTGTACTAAATTTTGGTCAGTCGAGTTGTAAATATTTGCTTCAACGTCTAAGTATGCAAAAATCTCAATCGTCTTTATTACTGATGGTTAATTCCCCCCAACAAGAAAAAATGCAGCTGGAACGAACATTTGAAACTGGTGACAAGGAGCAATTGCATAGTTTCTTAAAATCCAACAATGCCAAATGGTTAATTTCACAACTGCCTAGGAGTAGAAAGATCCCAGTTGCTGAATATGTTATTCAAAGTAAAGATTTATTGACCATTGCCTGCCATGATCTGGATCTATTAGAGTTTTCTTGCTTGGCTATTTACGAGAACATATGTTCATCATTTTCTTCCAAGAGTGTCTTCCGTTTAAAGTCTCTGTCGTGTGAATTTGACGAAATTCGTCAATGCGTAGAAGTTTCAGCCACGGAAACTTTAATAAAACGTTTAATTTCTGTTATTAATGAACGCACTGACAAAGAGTACAAAATAAAAAGAATTGATACCGATCAAATACGGACAAATTTAAATTTACTTTCGCAACTTCCAATTGGACATTTGAGGCGCCAGCGGAAAACAATTATATTTGCCTTGCATCTGTGCCTTTATCGTGATCTTAAATGCGGGAACGAAGATGAATTGGCTGCACAAGCATTGGACATAATGAAAGGTTGTGTTTTGTTTTTCATAGACATTTCCAGGAAATTAAGAACTATTAATAATTCTCTTTACAGATATCCTCCACTTCGGTCAGCAAGTTTTGATTTTCAAATATTTTGACGCAAAACGATTGCTGAATCTATTGCCCACGGAAACTTGTTGGCAGCTCTATGAATTCTTGTTTTCAACTTTAAAAAATGAGGAAAAAGGCACTGACAAATTTCTTGATGATTTGGTTGCAATTATCAATGAAGCACTATCGCTGCATACAATGGATAATGAGCATCGCAAGCTACTGTTAATTGCTATTGATTCACTTGCATCGATAACTGGTCCCAGTGCTAAACGAATGCGAAAGCATTTGATGTCTTTTTTGAAAATATTCTCTAAATATTTAGATGAACATTTTGATGAATCGAACGATGGTACTTCCAAGAAAGATAAAAAGTTTGTTCAAAAAACCTTGGCTGGTTTCGCCTCATATGCCTCGGTATTATTGGCTAAGGCGACAAAAGTGAAAGATGAAAAAGAAAATCAAAATGAACATTCTAATGATACAATGTTGGAGCAAGAAATCGATGAAAACTTTAGGCGCATCAATAAAATTTACATTGGTCATTCGGTAAGTTCTAGTATATTCAAAAATCGTAACAATTAAAATTGATCAGGACAATAATTTTGTTAATCTTTGTTTTTGATACAGATGGATTACCGAAATCCCCATGCTTTACGTCTCATGAATTTGGCTTTAAGTCATCGTGAACTTCTGCACTTAGATCAAGATGAAATTGAATTTGTTCTCACAAATTATTGGACACAAATCAATGCAGATTTACAAAGTCTGGAAGGTCATAGTAACAGCAAAACCATTGAAACTGCTATTAAACTAATTATAAGCAATAAAACTAACGAAGACCTGCTGCTTACACTCAAGTATCTAGCCAATAATGCGGAAAATACAAATGTTTCAAATGTATTGAAATTGTTAAGACTGATTGCAAAATGTCCATTCAGTACAATAAAAGGAGCTGTAAGTTAAGCTACCATTATTACGGAATATTGTAAACTATTTTTTTCTTATAGATTTTCAATGAAATGTACAAGAAGATTACCTTCAATATAACGCTGCATCTGGAAAGAGATGAACGACAACAGTTTACCGATTACGACAAAGTAATTGAAATTTTGCTGTGCCATAAAGCTGTTCTTGAAAATAAAATGGTATTTGTTGTTAAAGCAGTTTAAAAATGTCTTTACATAACCTAAACTAATCATATTTTTCAGATTTCCATATCCACAGATACCATGGACAGCATCCTTTCGTTCTTAATGGAGATTAATATTAAAAAGTTTCCATTATGTGATACGAACATACATATCTTCAATTCCTTGCATATATCCATTAGTGGAGTTTGTTCATCGATTATTAAACATCGTCACTTACTTTTAATGGACCGCGCACCGCAATATATGCATGTCTTCAAAGATCTAATACAATCTGTGGTTTGGTATAAAAGTGATCGTCAAAAGGACACAGCATTGCCCAGCGATGAATTGGATAACCTTGCCGAATTGGCGATGAAGTTAGAGGCTTTAATGCATTTAATTGCGCAGCACAGTGTCGCTTTTAAGCGAGTCTCTCCATTTATTTTGACATTTATAATTAATTTAATGGTCAAAAATCAAAGACCCACCACGCTATACAACAAGGTAGGTTTCTGTAGCACCTTTTTCTCAACCATATAAACTATATTAATTTTCTCGAATTCTAGGTAAAAACTCACGTTGAAAGTATATGCTATGATTTGGTTGGCATTTGCGATCATCGTGCTAAGCACTTCATTTTACGTTGCTCTAATGAGGCCGGTCGTCAGCTATACGAAGTTCTGGTTAAAGATTATCAAAAATACCATAAATTCAAGGGTAAAGTGTAAACTATTCGTCACGCATATTCAATATGCTACATTTATACATGTAGATTTCACAATGTTTTCTATCGTTTTTTTGTAATAAAACATTTTTGAATTTTATTATTGTTCGTATTCCTGTCAAATTTGTTATTTTATATTTAATACAACGCATCATCAAATTAATATTTTAAATGACATTGGGCATGCAACTGGAAACCTCGATTTTAATAAACAGATTGATAGTTTGGTTGAATTATATTACAATATGGGATGAGACTTATACAATTTTGAAACATTTCTAATAGAAATCCAAATTATTTCATTTTTAATAGGAAACTTTTAGAATACAAAGTATTTAATTTATCAAAAGTCTATTGAGAAAAGTAAAAATGCCGCAACAATACTATTTTTTAAGATGTTAATATGTTATATCGGTAGGGTCAATATTTGTAGCTTTTACATTTATTTAAGAATCTAATCAGACATTATTGTTCTGTTTAAAAGAGCTTAGCCATGCTGGTTATTCTAAATTTAGCGACAGAATCCGAGAATCAACATAACTATTTTCTGAGAAAATCTTTGGCCATAATATCCGAGAGTTCTGTATATAAAAATAAATACTTTAAGAGAACCCAAATACACAAGCTTTTTAACAGTTTAATTCTACGCAAGAACATTAATGGGTGTAAACGTAAAAAATCAAGTGATAATTTGAGAGCAGAGCTTTGACGTGTTTCGACGTCGCCAAATAAAATAATATCATGTACTCAATAATTTTAAAACGTATTCAATTCCCGAAAAGTTCCTTTTGTGCCTGGTTATTCCCAGTGTTAGTAACGTAGTAAAATCTTCAATCGATCCGTGAGGTGACACCAAATGCTTTATTTGTTTTTTTTTTCGCCCCCGTATTTCTATTATATCAATCAGAATAAAATAATTCTGAAAGCTGTTTAAAGTTACAAGGTGGGACCAGCGTCCGCCAATAAACTCTCTCGTTGAAATCCTATGTTCAGCGCAGAAAGAAACGTCAACAAGGAACGGTAATATTTGTTGTTATATATTGACCAGCAATTCATAAAGGTATTTTTATTCGAAAAAAAAACAAAATGTTTACTACAACTATTATAAATAAGAAATATCTCATCGCTAATGGTCATATGTCAGACCTAAGCAAACAGGGAACATTTTTCGCATAATGGTTGTTCGACATTTCCACTACCACTGTAATTATAAATAAGATTTCCAAATTAGAAATATAATGTAAGAATATACTTGAAAATACATACAACAAAGAAATACAAGGACTGCATACAAACTTTCCACACTCGACGCACGAATAGCCACATTCTTCACACAAATCATTTTGGCAGTTCACACATTTATCCTGAACATAGGTATCTCTATTGCAGCACTTGGCCTTGCGTCGAACCCACAAGAATTCGTCGTCTTGTTCATCGGCCTGCTTAGCTGGTTCGATTTGACCATTGCCTGAAATAACTACTAAACGGTGGAGTGGAGTCTTCTTGTTGCGGTCAGGCTGGATGTTATTGTTGCTGACAGAGCGGGCAGCTTGGAATAGCATCTTAGTTGTTTTTGCTATATGGTAATATCGTTTATTGCAAAGTACAATAGAACATAATATGAAGTTGTTTCATCTTACCATAGATCTGTTTCATTTTGTTGCTGTCATGGGAATCAACAATCTTTTCATTAACGTGCATCTTAGTTTGTAGAATATATGGTGAGGATTCCTCAGAGCGCATACGCTTCAAACTCACTCTCTGCATTTTGTTAATTTATTTCAAAGGATTCTATTAGCAGTTTACCAAATATTCAACAATTTTAAAAATGTCCTATACTTTGCACTGTGAATTGACAACTCAATCAACTAAAGCGTACATTTTAAGGACCACTCTTCTTTATTTTCTTAAGTCTTTTTATTCGTTTGGGACGCTTTTTATAAATATTACCACCGTCTCTTTGTTTTTCTTTCCTCATTCGTAATCATCTTTTTTCTCTTTCTTAGCCTAAAAGATGGTTTGGGGAAACTAGGTCGATTTTTGAACAAAGAGCAATAGGTCTGTCAGGCAACCCACGCAGTTGCGACAATTGTTGCAATTTGCCACTGGAATTTGGAGAAGAACGATTCCAGAGAGAAATTTTGAAAGTCAATGTGTTCGATATTTACTATGCTCCAGCATTGTAAAACTGTTGCGGTGATGCGAACAATTCCAACACATATAACATTAAAGTAGCGTGGCAAAAAGCACAGCTAGAAGTCAAAGTCACTAAAACAATTGGTTTGAAATTTTGTGAACTCTTTAACTTCACATTACCCTGACCATTTGCTATTTCAAACATTTTTATGCAATTTGTGAGTATCTATGAACGAAATGTTACTATACTAGTTTTTACATAGTATAACACTGTGCGACAAATTTAAATTTTACGATAAATATAGGAAAAATTCAGCAGACTATGACAGTCGAGCTAATATTGGAAACATGTCTATTGCAAAGCAACGCAAATAGAGTGGAAAAGTTTCCCAGTTTTCCACATTTTTCGATTAAGAATCCTTGGAATCGTTACAGTTTTGGAATATAGCATGCTAAAATTAAGAAGGTCACTCGCTGTCATATGTTTGCAATTTATTCAAAAGTATACATATAATAACATCTTATTGTTAAAATGTTTATTATTTACCCAAGTGACGACATCGTATGCTGAATAACAGAGGAACCAAAGAATTGAATTGAACAAAAATTCTTTTGGTATTTCTTATAAGTATTCGGTGAGAATACGTAAAACGCTGGCTTTTTTTGGGTGAAGGGCGAAAATCGATCTAAGTCAACCTTAAACTCCTTCGTTCCTCTACGAAGAAATCAGCCGATTACTTAAGCCAGTTAAAAATGCCTTTTATGTACTTTCGCCTTCAGTCTTACACCCGCACGTATAAACATTTTCATCTATCTGCAATGGTTATGCATTCATTTACCTGAAAGAAATGAGCATAAACATGTATGTTGGTTTTGTCTGTTGTAATAAAAATACCTTCGTCGACGGTATTATTTGTGGGAGAAAAATGTTGAAATTTAGTGGAGGATGTCATAATGTCACTCATATTCCGCGAACAAAAATTCAGCCCCAAAAAATTCAAATAGCCCTCATATAACGGTACCTCCCTATATTCAGTATTTGAAATATTCAGTATTTCTAACGGATTTGCTTGAAATTCTAAATTGATATTCTGTAATTGGATCCACCTGTCGTGACGGAACATTGTCTATGTAGGTCCACTTTTTTCTATATCGCCCATATAATGGTACTTCCTGATATCGGGATTGTTTATGACTATTGCCACATTTTCAATGTATTTGTTTTTACAGGCTTTCCAACCGAGTTTGCATGTATTTGCAGTTTAAAATAAAGCTCATATGATTACTAAATCCTAAAGGTGAGAATACATAAAACGCTTTTCTGACTGGCTTAAGTCGTCGGCCAGTTTCTTTGGACAAGAACAGAGGGGCATAGGTCCATAGGTCTGGTAGGGTTCCGGCACTCTAAGTCGTGGCATTTCGTTCAGAGGGATTCTCAACCCTCACCACCAGCAATTCTGCCCCTCCATACAATCCTATGTCAAGCAATAACCCTATAGCCGTTGTAGGTGGCACATAACACCAGTCAAAAATGCTTTTTATGTGTTCTCATCATAATACTTTTATTTTTAAAAGTCTTCTTTATCTGTTGAGAGGGGTATTAAAAGTTCTGCTCGACTGAACTTAACGTGTTGTTAATTGTTTACATTTTAGACAATATACAAATAAAATGTTGTTATGACTTCCGCCAACATCGATAATAAAATTTCAGTAATTCATCGGCGTTTAGTTCTGGCTGAATTTTCCATACATGCAATATGCTTGAGCGACCACTTAATGTAGAGTTATCGGATTCTAGATAATAAAAATAGTTTTCTTAACACTTTGAAGAATAGGTAAAACCTTCAAACTTGCAAAATCCTAATCAAATGCACCGCATCGAGTCAATCTTTTAACACTGTATCTTCTTTTCTCTGTTTTTTTTTACCATTTTTAAACAATCTTATGTAAATTCTTAGAAGTTTTGTTTTTGCTTTATCGGTAATTCGTATTACCATTTTGTCCTCAATAGGTAGAAATGGTAAATACCATGTTCGTCAGCAAAACTCAGCAGCTGGAAACTTTTAACAATTGAAGCACTCATTTTTCTCAAACAAAAATAATATCGATATACACTTTTATAAAAATTTTCCCCAATCCATTCATTTTAAAATTTGCTTCACAGTTAAGTTATGAACTTAGTACCACATGTTTGGGTAACTGTAAACACTATATTATCCATATTTTCACGGAAATAAAGGTGGAGCCAGGCTTATTTCATCGCAAGAAAGCTTACTAATTACTTACGTAGCGACCGAATTAAAATTTTAAATATTTGATCATAATACAATTTAAAATTTTAGATTTTAGAAAAAGGCACAAAAATACCGACTGTCTACAATTGTAGGATTTAAATCCTCAAATAGTAACAAGAATTGACGTATCAATACCAAAGATTCAGTGGAAGTCAACCGGTTGGTGCAGGAGGAAAGTGGCTAGACCATCTGAAGTGGTGCAATATGTGAGAAAGCTGTGGGCAACGTTTAAATAACTCTCTCTCTCTCAATTTTAACGATGTAATGGTGACTGATCCGAAGAGGTGCGAAAAATTGTCGAGCAGCATTTACACTGTGTGATGTTGCAAATGCCATCCGAAACAAACAGTTCTCAACATGAGGCTAGCCACCCACATTGTTCCCGAAGCCTGGAAAATGGGCGGGTGGTCCCGCTACTGAGCCAACAAAGCCAAATCCTATAGGCCAATTTGCTTTTGTCGCCAGTAGCAAAGACTCTTGAGGCTTTACTCCTTTAACACGGATTCCGTCAACAACACAGTACTATACCACAACAGCTTTGTAAGCTATATCCACACATATCAGTCGAAGATTAAACCAGAACAAGCCGTGTTATAGAACGGCAAGTTTGAAACGTTGGAGAATAATTTTATGTGTGGATACCATTCGTATGTGCAATTCCGAAACAAGAAGTCCAAATTAGAGCAGGGAGTTCCTCAAGGTATGGTGATATTTCCGAAACTGTTTAATCAACCCTACCACCTGGTCTACGGAGATGAGCACACAGCTGCATTCTAGGGGTTACATTCGATAGTATATTCAAGTCGTCCGCGCAAGCCACAGCTTTCTGCGACAAAAAGAAATGTAGGGACAGGCTTCTCGAGGCTTTGGCCGGCAGCACTTGAGTGCCGACAAGGAGACCTTGTTGACCTCTTATAGGTCGGTCTGTAGTCAGCTTTGTGGCCTCTGCGTTGTCTTTAAATACATTGGAAGAACATCCAGAACTACCAGAATGCCATGAGAACTGCGACATTGTTCATATGGTGGATAAAACTTCCCCACCAAAAGCGTGTCAGGAAGGACATGATCTAGAGGTCAACTTCGGCTAAAGAACGTCGGCTGCCACGATGAATGTAAGAATATACTTGAAAATACATACAACAAAGAAATACAAGGACTGCATACAAACTTTCCACACTCGACGCACGAATAGCCACATTCTTCACACAAATCATTTTGGCAGTTCACACATTTATCCTGAACATAGGTATCTCTATTGCAGCACTTGGCCTTGCGTCGAACCCACAAGAATTCGTCGTCTTGTTCATCGGCCTGCTTAGCTGGTTCGATTTGACCATTGCCTGAAATAACTACTAAACGGTGGAGTGGAGTCTTCTTGTTGCGGTCAGGCTGGATGTTATTGTTGCTGACAGAGCGGGCAGCTTGGAATAGCATCTTAGTTGTTTTTGCTATATGGTAATATCGTTTATTGCAAAGTACAATAGAACATAATATGAAGTTGTTTCATCTTACCATAGATCTGTTTCATTTTGTTGCTGTCATGGGAATCAACAATCTTTTCATTAACGTGCATCTTAGTTTGTAGAATATATGGTGAGGATTCCTCAGAGCGCATACGCTTCAAACTCACTCTCTGCATTTTGTTAATTTATTTCAAAGGATTCTATTAGCAGTTTACCAAATATTCAACAATTTTAAAAATGTCCTATACTTTGCACTGTGAATTGACAACTCAATCAACTAAAGCGTACATTTTAAGGACCACTCTTCTTTATTTTCTTAAGTCTTTTTATTCGTTTGGGACGCTTTTTATAAATATTACCACCGTCTCTTTGTTTTTCTTTCCTCATTCGTAATCATCTTTTTTCTCTTTCTTAGCCTAAAAGATGGTTTGGGGAAACTAGGTCGATTTTTGAACAAAGAGCAATAGGTCTGTCAGGCAACCCACGCAGTTGCGACAATTGTTGCAATTTGCCACTGGAATTTGGAGAAGAACGATTCCAGAGAGAAATTTTGAAAGTCAATGTGTTCGATATTTACTATGCTCCAGCATTGTAAAACTGTTGCGGTGATGCGAACAATTCCAACACATATAACATTAAAGTAGCGTGGCAAAAAGCACAGCTAGAAGTCAAAGTCACTAAAACAATTGGTTTGAAATTTTGTGAACTCTTTAACTTCACATTACCCTGACCATTTGCTATTTCAAACATTTTTATGCAATTTGTGAGTATCTATGAACGAAATGTTACTATACTAGTTTTTACATAGTATAACACTGTGCGACAAATTTAAATTTTACGATAAATATAGGAAAAATTCAGCAGACTATGACAGTCGAGCTAATATTGGAAACATGTCTATTGCAAAGCAACGCAAATAGAGTGGAAAAGTTTCCCAGTTTTCCACATTTTTCGATTAAGAATCCTTGGAATCGTTACAGTTTTGGAATATAGCATGCTAAAATTAAGAAGGTCACTCGCTGTCA